CAACAACAACAACAACAACAACAACAACAACAACAACAACAACAACAACAACAACAACAACAACAACAACAACAACAACAACAACAACAACATCCCCACCACCACCACCGCTGTAACTCAGAACGCTGACTCACCGGCCGGCTTCGCCGTGACAACGGTCCTGGGAAGACTGGACGAGACGATGGTTGGCATGGTGATGGTGGCCGGCCTGACTCCGCTGGACAGCACGATCGGTGACCCGATGGATGAGGTCACAGTTCCACCTGATGATGTAATTATATAATATTGTTTAATATACATACAGTGTAGCGACGTTATAATGTCAGGTTGGGGTCCATAAAATTTCATCTCGAAAAAAGCGGGGTCGCACTAAATCGGGGTTATATATACGTGGCTATATAAGAGCAAAAAAGTGGTCCAACGACTCATCGCGTTATATTCGAATTTGCGTTAAATCGGGGGTTCCACCGTATTAGCTACATATATCCACATGTGAAACACCGAACAATTCGTAACCAGCTAATTATACATTACAATATATAATATTATACAATGTTAATTAATATATATTATAATACAGCTCTGGATGTTATATATTAGCTATATATATACCCTGCTATTAGGTTGAAGGCTGGTAGAGGTTGAATAGTGGAGGCGCTAGCACTGCTACGAACAACGCGGCGCTTCGAAAAAGTTCAATGCAGCAAATGTAATTGGCAAGCATCGCAACAGAAGGGAAACAAATCAACAAATTGCCAAAGTTTACGCAGCAATCATATGTCAATAGAACTTAGTGTAATCACAATGAACATCACACAGGATTGACATCATCGAATGTTTCTTCCACGACGCTGTCTTGCCGGCGCGAGACGCCACGCAAGATGACACTCACCGGTGAGGCCGGCGGTGGTGACGAACGTGACGCCCTGGCGGATGGCCTGTTGACCGGCGGTGGACGACAGCACGATGATCTGCTGACCTGAGGACGTCTGCAGCGTCGACGCCTGCCCCGACAACGTCATCGTGCCCGCCTTAGCTGCAACGACAACGCGACAGGTTAAGCAAATGACGATGACAACGATGATGATAATGACGATGACAATGACGATAATAATGACGATGACAATGACAATGATAATGACAATGACGATGACAATGATGTTGACAATGACAATTACGTTGACAATGACAATTACGTTGACAATGACAATAACGATGACGTTGACGATGAAGAGTAAAATCGATATAAACGAAGGGAGACCAGTTGCCGAAAATATTCAACTTGAATGCAACTGCCGCAAGAAAGGAGAAGTGGAAGAACTGGCCACCGAAAATACCCGGCACGGGATTACAACAATACAGATCCGAGAATGGTCCTCAATCTTCAACAATGTTGGTGGCTGGGCATGCAACAGGGCATAATTGTGAGTAAGGTGTATAATGTGCAGATTTTTATTGCCATTGGGTCGCATGATACGGATCGATTAAAATATTAATAGCAAATAATAACCGACCCACCTGCCCCGAGATGAGAATTTATCAATTTACCCAGGCGTTTTCCACCCAGGCGAATCGATTTCCGATTGATACAACAGGTTACGTACCTGCGGCCACTTGTCCAGCACTGGTCACTACAATGTACTGCCCGCCGGCAGTGCCGAACTTCGGCATGGTGGTCATTATCTTGGTCGGCGTGGCCGTAGCTTGACCCGACCTTCCTGCGATCACTATCGTCTGCTTCTGCGCTCCTCCTGAAACAGCATCCAGATGACACCTTTATTCAGCGAGATCCGCTAGCAATGCCAGTAAATCACGCGTGTGCTGTGACTTAAAGCTTACCCCCGCATTGGGCTTTCTCTTGATGATACGGGCTTACGTAAGCTCGTAAATGGCTTAAATTGATTCCATGATAAAATTTGTAAAAAAAAATTGCCATTTTTTTTTTACATTAAAAGTAAGAACTAACGTTACTAAATATATCCTCAAACTCTCACCTGATAAAAATGTTTTTACGTTGGTTAAATTTGCAAAAAACCAAACGATTTGGTAATTTCTGTTGTCTAACACTATTTCCCCAGTACTGTTCAGATACTGGCGTCTCTGTGTTTTTCACCGGCAAATTAGGGCATATAAAGAAGGTATATAAGCATGAAAAGTAAACAAAAACACTAATTGTATTTTCATACATTTTATTTTGTACAAATAACCCACAAATATACTACTTGATGGTGCTAGAAATTCATGACGTAATCACTTTAACTTATCGTACCTGGGCTCACGGACATGGTGGTGATGTTGCCAGTCTTTGTCAGCGACGACAGCATTGACGACGGAATAGCCTTGATAATCGTCTGTCCAGGTTTTCCCTGGTAGGTTTGCTGTGAAGTAAATCAATTCTGTCATGTACGTCGCATCGAGGCGGGGCTCAATATATATTAATTATAATAATCATCATTAATTATTATTATTATTATAATTATACCACTCAAACGATTGCAACACTGCAATTTTTAAACGATTACTAATTAATATTATACAAATAATAATTCATACAACTTTAATAAATAAATAATATTTTTCATATAAAATTAATAATATTAATCGGATAAAGCTAAATATATGTGTTTAGCGATCCTACGAATCTAATGCTCGCTATCTCAGGGCAGCTCACCTGTGGCTGGACAGAGCTTATGCCCAGTATGTTCGATGGTGTGGCGCCGCTGGCTTGCTGCGTGGCGACGACGCGTTGTCCCTGCGCGGTCGACACTAGCTTCACGATCGTAGCTCCGTGCGGGATCGTCCCGCCCTTTGCCTGTAACGCCGACGACGTTCGAGATTTATACATCCGCGGTTATCCGCGATGTTACATCGTAACAACGTTCGCATGCACGATTATCGCTCTGCGACTGCGTGCGCGGAGGAGAGGGGAGAGATGGAGATTAACGCGTGATGCGCGGCAAGGGGGAGGAGGATGAGGAGGAAGAGATGGAGGAGGTGGAGGGGGAAGAGGATGAGGAGGAAGAGATGGAGGAGGTTGCTGCGTGCGCGAAGGAGAGGGGAGAGATGGAGATTAATGTGGGGTGCGCGGCAAGGAGGAGGATGAGGAGGTGGAGGAGATGGAGGAGGTGGAAGAAGAGAAAGAAGAGGAGGAGGGATAGGGAGATGAGGAAGAGGAGGAGGTGGAGGAAGAGGAGGTGGAAGATTGGGAGGAGCAGCAGCAGCAGCAGGCAGAGGAGTAGGCGGTAGAGGCAGAAGAGCAGAGGGGAAAGAGGGCGAGGAAGAGAAAGAAGAGAGGGAGGAGGAGAATATCAGAAACCGATCGATTTCTCACATACCATCTGCATAACGAGTATAGACCATGCAACATATCTCACACCCATTTCATGTTAAGCTGGGTTTACACTACCGACTTTATGTTGGCGAATTGGCGAGTTGGATCAATTTCGCAATTCGGCAACACCGAGTTGGCAAAAATAGAACATGTTCTAATCTCCCAACTAGTTGCTATCGATCGGTTGGTCGCCCGACTTTCGCGTTTACACTGCCGACTGTCGATTGTATAGTTGGAAAGTTGATCCAATTCGCCAATACAAAGTCGGTAGTGTAAACCCAGCCTTAGACGTCATTACGCACTGATCTGTTAGTAGACACCCCCTACCTGTCGGTGGTGTGAGTCAGACCGATATGCGAAGCCGTGAGACACGCTGTCATGGTGGACGTCGTCATGGAAGCAGCGGGATACTGCAGACGAGGGCAGTCCGTCGTCACGACGACGACCGGCGACGTGGCTGCGCAGACGAAGAACGATCGTTAGCGACCCACGACACTAACGGCTCATCGATTAGTAGCGTTTAAAAAAGCAAGCGCTTAGCTGTTAGCTGCTCTAGCTGTTCGTGGGCTCGAATTCGATTTAACTCTAAACATAGCCATTCTTTAACACCATTGAACGTTTCGTTAAACATTTATGCATTTAAATGTAACATTTTATTATATATTTTAATTAATTGTTTTAACTCGTTTGAAAATAAACTCGGGAGATCGCCATCGTTTAAAAACTGTTTAACGACTCTCGCGGTCGTTAGAGCGCTGACGTAGCGTCGCGTTGAGCCGCGGACACCACCACCTACCTTTCTGCTCCTCTTCAACCTCCTGCGACGCTGCGGGCGGTTGCGCCTTTGCGCCGCCAGGGGGCGGTTGTGCGGCCGCGCTGTCGGTCGTGTTCGTCTCCGCTCCCTCCTTCTTGCTCGTCGTCGCCGTGTCTGTGGTCTTGCACGTTGACGTCTCTCCTGCGCGAGCAAAATAAAAACGGTAAAAACAAATCAAATCAAATCAAATCATGACTTCGTCAGATGAGCTAACAAGTGCCGCAGAGCGACAGCGCTCATCTATCGTCTACTGCGGTGACTCTGTGGTGGAGTGGTGGGATTCTAGTAAACCCTGTTAGTCCCAAATGTG